TCAGTTATGGTCTCTTCTGGGTATATTCCCAGTAGTGGTATTGCGGGGTGAAATGGTATCTCTATTTGCAACTTTTTGAGAAAGTGCCATACTGCTTTCAGCCCAATTTCTGAGAAATGTTTAAGTACCTAGATTTGTCCTCCTTAAAAGCACAATCACTTCCTGGATTTTACTTTTTTAAGCTAATAAATTTCCCTTTATAGAACTTTATCCAATTTTCTTTCCCTTTAACTAATTAGTATGCTTGCATTATCAGCAAAAACAAAGGTTAAAATAAGCAATAAATAAAAAGATTATAGTAAAAATGGAAATACTTTCTGGAGATAAATACATGTATACTGATTGTTTTCATGTATACTATTTAGTCTTATTAGATTTAATTCTAAAGATTTATAAACACCTATCTAACTGTTATATAAAAGTTATCAATACTAAAGAAACCTAAATGCTACAAAAAATACACAGGAACTCAGTAAGTCCCTCTGTAGAGATACAACAAATATGGAAATCACCACTAAGAAGTGAAACTGGAGAGACAGAACTAGAAAATATATAACAAAAGTTGGATTTTTCCTTAATATATCTAAAGTATTTGATTTTTTTTTAAAAAAGCCCCAAAACACACAATCAAAAACAGTACTACTTCAGATAGCTAAAAGAGTTAAAAACAGTATCTGTGAAAACTTACTTCATAGTATTCATATTCATCAAGGTTGAATGAGTTGAAATTAAGAAAGCCATACTGCATTGCCTAAAATCCAAAGGAAAGTTTTTAAGAACAAACATGCAAATAAATCATTTAAGATACAATTTCATTTAAAAAAAATCAGGAGACTACCCAGAAAAGTTATCATATTAAACAAATTCTTTTTCATTGATCAGTTTCAAAGGACATTTTTAAGTACTTCCTTACCTAGAGAGCTCTAGTGGCTTAGCGGTAAGGAGTTGTACTGACAACTCAAATGTATACAGTCTGAAGCCAATAGCTATTCTGTGGGAAAGATATGGGCCATCTCCTTTCATATGGTCCTGCTGAAAAGAGGTGGTTCTAACTTGTAGGTATGTTAACAATATCATCCAGAAGACTTGATTTTGTATTTTCATTCCATCAATCATCTTATTCCGGGATTACTAAATAAATAATTATACCTTCAGAATAATACTACTAACTAATTAGAACAATAGCACTCATGCATGTATTCATGATTGAGAAATTTCGGCTTGACATACAACAGATACCCTAATGCTATAATGAAAACGAAAGAAGCCATATGCTAATTTATTGTCAACAATCCCACAATTTACAAACGTTCTTATTTTAAACTGATAGTACATAAGGGAGTCCTGTTGTTAACCCAAAGACAATGCCTCTTGCTGAGTTTGAGTCCAGTAGTGGCTCTTCAGGAGGAAAATGGGCAATCTGCTTCTTTGTAATTTAAAGCTCTTGAAAACATGCTGGAAGTCTGCTACGAGTTGGCTTGACTTGACAGCAATAAATTTAGGTATTAAAGAGAGTACACATTTAGTAGAAATCTGCACAGCTAATCTGGAAGCCAAACCTCTATGGTGGTTTTAATCCACTAGTAGCTCTCATGAAGAAAGATGGACAATCTTCTTTTGAAAATAGTCTTGGAATCCTAATGGACATCCATTTTAGTCTTCCGTCTTTGTAATGATCTTTTATACTCTTCATGGATGATATTCTTGATATCCTCCCACAGCTTATCTGGTCTTCTCTCAGAACCTGGATGAGATGGATTGACTCAATGACTAGGCTAATGGGGGTAGGTGTGTCACAGACGATGAAACTGGCTCAGGATAGAGCAGGGTTCAGAGCTGTTGTATATAGGATCACCACGAGTGGGAGTTGATACAATGGCTCCTAACAAGAATAATCCTACTTGAGTTGTTCCTCTTGTTAGGTGCCATTGAGTTGAATATGACTCACAGAGATCCTATGTACAACAGATCTGAACACTGTCCTATTCCATGCCATTCTCACAATCTCTGCCAATTGCCAGAGTCATCATGTTAACCCACCTGGCTGAGGATCTTCCTTTCTTTGCCACCTCTTTACCTTCCCAATCATGATGTCCCTCTCCAAGAAATAACCTCTCCTAGCAATGTATCTGTGGAAAAAAACTGCTGGAGAAGCTCAATATCAGCTGTAAAAACTAGGCCAGGAGCTGATTGTGGAACAGACCACCAACTACTCATATGCAAGTTCAAGCTGAAGCTGAGGAAAATTGAACCAAATCCACAGGAGCCAAAATAAGACTTAAATTCATCTCACCTGAATTTCAGAATCATCTCAGGAACAGGTTTGAGGCCTTGAACACTAATGAGTGAAAACCAGATGAGTTGTGGGAGGATGTTAAATGTGTCATCCAGGAAGAGTGTAAATGGTCATTACAAAGACAGAAGAGGAAGAAAAGACCAAAATGGATGTCAGAAGAAACTCTGAAGATTGCACTGGAATGTAGAGAAGCCAAAGCACAAGGAAGAATTCAAGACACTAAAGAGCTGAACAGAGGATTCCAAAAGGCAGCACGGAATGACAAAGCAAAATACTACAATGAAATGTGCTAGGAACTAGAGTCGGAAAATCAAAAGGGCCGAACTCGGTCAGCATTTCTTAAGCTCAACGAACTGAAGAACAAATTCAAACCTCGAGTTGCTACAACCAAGGATGCTTTAGGCAGAATGTTAAATGATCCAGGATGTATCAAAAGAAGATGGAAGGAATATACTGAGTCATTGTGCCAAAAGGAATTGGCAGATAAAGAAGCATTTGATGAAACAGCATTTGAGCCAGAGCCTATGGTGAGGAAGGCAGAAGTTCAAGCTGCTTTGAAGGAAATAGCAAAAAATAAGGCCCCAGGAATAGATGGTATACCAATTGACATATTTCAGCTAACAGATGCTGCCCTGGACGTGCTCACCAAGTTGTGCCAAGAAATCTGGAGAACAACCACTTGGCCAACTGACTGGAAGAGATCTATATTTGTTCCGATCCCAAAGAAAGGTGACCCAACAGAGTGTGGAAACTATAGAACAATCTCACTGATTTCACATGCAAGCAACATTCTACTGAAGATTATCCAAAAAAGACTGGAACAGTACATCAACAGAGAACTGCCAGAAGTCCAGGCTGGGTTTAGAAGGGGTCGTGGTACTAGGGATACTGTAGCTGATGTTAGATGGATCTTGGCTGAAAGCAGAGAACACAAGAAGAATGTCTACCTGTGTTTCATTGATTATGAAAAGGCATTTGACTGTGTGGATCATAACAAACTGTGGCTGACTCTGAGAAGAATGGGAATCCCATAACATTTAATCGTGCTAATGAGAAACCTATACTTGGACCGAGAGGCAGTAGTCAGAACAGAGCAGGGCAACACTGCATGGTTCAAAATTGGGAAGGGTGTACGCCAGGGATGTGTCCTATCTCCATACCTTTTCAACCTGTATGCAGAGCAGATTATCCGAGAGGCTGGGCTCTGTGAGGAGAAGCGTGGCATTAGGATTGGTGGAAGATCTATCAACAATCTGCGTTATGCAGATGACACAACCCTGCTTGCTGAAACTGAGGAGGACCTCATGCACTTACTGCAGAGGGTCAAGGACTGCAGCCTTCAATATGGACTGAGACTCAATGTCAAGAAGACAAAGATTCTCACCACTGGACCAATCGGTAGCACCAGGATGGATGGCGAAGAGATTGAGATTGTTCATAGCTTTAGTTTGCTCGGCTCCACAGTCAACACTCTTGGCACCAGCAGCCAGGAAATCAAAAAACGTATTGCAATGGGAAAGTCTGTTGTTAGGGACCTCTCTAACATACTAAAGAGCAACGGTGTCTCTCTGGAGACTAAGGTGCACCTGATATAGGCCATGGTCTTTGCAATCACTTGTTATGCATCAGAGAGCTGGACAATGACTAGGGAGGATAGAAGGAGAACTGACGCCTTTGAGCTGTGGTGCTGGAGAAGAGTATTGAATGTACCATGGACTGCCAAGAAAACAAACAGACTCATCCAAGAGAGGGTTAAACCAGGCTGCTCCTTGGAGGCAAGGATTCTGGGGCTTCGTCTGACATACTTTGAGCATGTTGTAAGGAGAGACAGGTCTTTGGAGAGGGACATCATGCTGGGTAGAATAGAGGGACAGCGCAGGAAGGGAAGACCCTGTATGAGGTGGATTGATTCAGTGACTGGGGTACTCGGGATGGGTGTGTCAGAGGCAATGCGATTGGCACAAGATAGAGCAGGGTTTAGGGCTGTTGTACATAGGGTCGCTATGAGTCGCAAACAACTCGACAGCACATAACAACAGCAATGTATCGTAAGTATGTGAAATAAAGCTTCATTATCTTTGATTCCAAGGAATACTCCGGCTACACCTTCTCCAAGACATACTTGTTTGTTGTTTTGGCAGGCCATGGGATATTTAATACTACTCTTCTTCAACACCACTGCTCAAAGGCATCACTTCTTCTATCATCCTTATTCACTGCCCAGCTCTCAGACGCACAGCTAGTGCCTGAAATGACCATGGCCTGAATCAGGTGCACTTTATTCCTCAAAGTGGTATCATTACTTCTCAGTAATTTGGAGAGGTCTCTGACTACAGACTTTCCCAGTGCAAAAATGTCTCCTGATCTGATGCTGGTACCAAGTGTACTGATTGTGGATCCAAGTAAGATAAAGTTGATAAGGAGTTGAGAGCAGTTACCCTTTGAGAAATGTTCTATCTGACTACCAAGTTACAGTTTGTGGTATGAATTCTTGGGAAAAAAATAAAGAATTAATAAGTACTTCTTAGCTAAGAAGGCATTCTTGGCTTATAAAGGTAGAACTTTTAAGTCCAGTTTTTGAAATGTAAACCAAACTGGTAGGTTATGTATAAAAATTTAATATACATGATGATTAGCAGAAACTGCACTGTGGTTACACTACATTTTGAGGTAGACTAGTTCATATGCCATCTTAAACAATTTCATGGTTTTTCGAGCTTGCAAACCATCCAAACAGTTATGTCAGAAGTTTCCTTAACATTAATAATGTTGCTGTTGTTAGGTGCCAACAAGTCGGCAACAATTCATACTGATGAATTTCATCAAAGTTCCCTCTGAAGAGCACCTTGGTTGGACTTCCTCTAAGACTGTTCTTTTGGCAGGTCATAGCAGATTCAGTACTCTTTACCATCACCACAATTCAAAGGCATCAATTCTTTAGTGTTCTTTTTTCATGGTTCCACTTTCAGATGTATATGAAGCAATTAAGATTACCACAGCATGGATTAAGGCACACCTTAATCTTTGACGTCTTTGCTCTTTAGTACTTGCCTTGTTCCTTTTGGATAACTACTTCTTGGTCTATTTATAGGTTTCCCATGAGCACAAAGAAAGAATTCTTTCTGGGATTCCCAGTCTCCACATTATCCATAATTTATTTTTTATTTATTTGTGTGTGTACTGTCAAATCAGATTTGACTGGTACAAGAGGAGATTGTCCCTCCTTCTCCAGCAGAGCATCTGATGGGTTCTAACCATTCACCTTTGGGATTGCAGTGCAGCTTCTTGCCACTAGGCCACCAGAGCTCACCATTACAAAAGTGAAATAAATGCCTTTGCATAGTCAATCACACAGAAATAAACATTTTACTGGTATGCTCTACTTTTTAGGCAAGATACACCTGACATCAGTGATGACATTTGTCGTTCCACAGCTTCTTCAGAATCCAGTTTGA